TAGAAATAAGAAAAGTTCTTAAATTAAGTGTATTTACCATTAATTTGAGTGAGTTAATGAGATAGTTTGCCAATGGAATGAGGATTTTTGCTCTTAAAACTTAAAAATAATATTAACTTGAAATAAGATAATGCAATGTGTTTTTTATTTTAAATGTAAATTCTTTTGTTCCGTTGCCAAAATGTCTCTTTTATCTCCTCAATCCAAGAACAAATGCATTATTTTAAGAAAAAAATTATTATCTTGATTTCGATTTTTTTACAGTGTAAAAAAAAATACAAAATTATTAATGCTTTTTTTTCTGTTTCCTGATAGAAATCTGACCTCTTTATTGAACCGATGAACCTATTTATTATAAACGGTTTATTTTCCAGACAGTCGCCTCAGAGAGACGGAAAAACACTGAAGAGTTTTTATCCTGATGGAACCAGTTAGATCCGGATCATCCAGTTGGGGTTCTGGTCGGTTCTGCCGGTGTTCTGTCAGCTCAGCATACGGCGTCAGGCCAGCATACGCTCAGTAATACGCATGGTCGTTATTAGCGGCTATCAGTCCCATAGAATGGCTTCAGATTGTCCAGTAGCTCAGCAGGCTGGAATCACTGAGGGAATCCTGACCTGAAAGTCATTCATTTCCCCACAGAATTAATTCATCTATTTAAGTTTAATCTGAAGATAATTTCAGTAGTTCTTAATGTGCTGTAAAAATAAATAAATAAAAATAAAATGATCCGCATCTCGCTCATATTAAACAAACCAAAACCAAATAATGTAGAATCCTCTCCCTATAAATGTTTAATTCTCTGTAAAAATGCAGATTATTCTTTAATAAGTTGCTCGTCTAACAGACATGCAATGTTTTCTTTTTCTAAAGCTAATGTGTGAAGTGGACCTAGTGAAGGACTTTTTGTTGTTTTACAACAAAACTACGACAAAAACGACTGAATCAGGAAATAAAACGTTGTGATTGGCTGTAAGGAGAACGGAGGAGGCTCTGTAATCCTGAGGGTATGCTGGCCTGACGCCGTATGCTGAGCTGACAGGACTCCATCCGTCCTTCTTCTCAGTCTTTACTCTTCAGCTGCTGCTGTGAACAAACTTGGTTATTCTGCTGGAAATGAAGCAGCTGCAGCTTCCGTCCGTCTGACCTCAGCTTTCCTCACATCAGGAGGGATTATGGGACGGCCTAATCTGATTTCCTGTCATTCAGGAAGCTCCAGTGTTCCTGTGGAGGAAACAGAGCAGTTAATAAAGGAGCTGGAATCTGTGCTGCTGCTCAGGAACTTCCAGGTCGTTCCACTCAGCCTCTGATTCCTTCCCAGAGCGCCCTGAAAGTATTCACACCCCTTAAACCTTTAACACATCATGGTGATTCAATTCAGTATCAATTTCCTGACCCAAAGATTTGATTATTTTCGATTAATCGGTTAATTTTTTATTTTATTTTATTTATTTTTTTACACCTTACAGGCTAAACAAAGTTTCAAGTTTGAAATAAATCAATGAAAGCTGTAATATCGTTATGCATTTTTTTTTTTTTGAAACAACAGCAAATAACAGAAGCAGAAAAATCAAAAATACTGCTGAAAATCAGTGCAATGAGTTCAATGCAATACCTCGGCTCCAGACGTCCCGCCCCCTCCACAGACGCTCCGCTGCTCCTCTCCCAGATTGTAGCTGACCGCAGACAGGAGGCCGGCTTGTTTTGTTTTTATCACTGAAATTGCGGAAAACAACTCGTGAAGTTTGACCCGCTAGAAGAGCGAGGTGCGCGAGAACGCTGGGACCCTTTTTCCACCTGGATCTCCGCTCTTTTTGGCCCTCATGTCCCTCCGTCGTCGGACTAAACTCGCCCCCACTTCCTCGCCGCCTCGGCCGTATCTAGACCCACAGCGTGTAGCTCAGACCACGCTTCAATATTGAGCATAAATTAAAAATGTCTGCATCAAGCTCACTGCAACACACTGCTGTAAGAGTATAACCAGGAAGCGAGGTAGGAGGGCAAAATAGGTTTAGCGCCACCGCAGCACTGGAGGAGAATTACGCCCAGGAGCAAATGGATAAAAATAGACCGGAGGAAAAAAAAAAACATGAATCGATTATCTTGCGGACGAATCGATGCATCGGATCGTCGGCTGTTGGATCGATGCATCGATACAAAATGATTATTATTTACACCCCTAGGGCTCACTGACTAAGCCGTACGCTGGCGCCACCATCTGACAGATGGCAATGAGGGTGAAGTATCTTGTCCAACGACACTGAAAGCCAGAGCCGGGGCTCAAACTGTTAACCCTACAATTTCAGGGCAAACGCCTACATCTGACGCCATTTTAAAGCCAATATTTTTGCCTGGTTGCATTTAAGGCTTTGATGACAAATGATTGTGTCCTGCTAGTATAATATTTGTTATTTTATCAGTAAAGCTTCGTTTTACCTCAGTTATTTTTAGTAAATATAGCTTTTCTATGTATATTTACCGTAACGCCATCACCTGACCAGGATCACGTCTCTGTACCTGTGTGACGTTGGTCAACAAGCTGAAGCCATGGAGGTCAGTGAGTGGAGAACTCCCAGCATTGTTGTGAAACAAAGAAAAGTCCAAGATCAAGTGTAAAGAAACTCCTTCATCCACGAGCAGCAGCTGCTGGACATCAACCAATGAGAGAAGCTGATCTGGGAGCTGGCAGGGAGTCAGACGCAGCACTGCTGATGCAGAGCGCTATGATCACTCCTCTGAAACAGTTTATTAACGCCTAAATTAACTTCAAATGTAGAAATGTAGACAGAATATGTTGTCTTTTATTATCCTGCTGCCTGCAGTTTGTAGCACAGACCTGAAATACGCTAACATCTGCCTTCGTCTGCGGCTGAATGTCAGATTAGATCTCCTGGTTTCTAAGCAGTCGTTCTGTTTCTCTGCATTTCTTTAATCTTTCCTGATCAGCTTCTGACTTTTAAACCTTCATGACGTCACATTCATCCTGAAACTGCTCTGAGTTTATCGTCTGACTGATGAGGAACGATTCGGCCATTTTTCCTCCGTCTCCCTGCAGGCTGTTGGATGCACACGGGGAACCATCAGGAGTGTGTTGGAGAGCGCTGCATCCTGGTGACTAGATCCCAGATGCAGAAAGCCAGCTACCGTTTCTGCTGCTGCAGCCACGACCTCTGCAACGCCAACTACACTGAAGCTCCGCCCACCGCCGACACGCCCGCCCTGAAGCCCATGAGGAACGACCTCGGCCTCGGTCACACAGGTGAGCTGCGTGTCATGGTCTTGGTTCTGCTGTTCTTTACTTTGTTCCTTGTTTTCTAGATTTATTGGTTTAATTCCAGTTTTGTTGTATTTCTAGATTTATATTAGTTCTCATGTTTTTCTGTTGTCCCCTTTTGCCCTCTTGTGTGTGTATGTTCCTTTCCCCTTGGCTCCCTCGTTGTCTCCTCTCACACCTGTTCCTTGTCTGCTCGTTAGCCCTCCCTTTGTCTCTCTCTCCTATATATGCTCTCCCTCTGCTCTCACTCTTTGTTGGTTCCTTGTCTTTGCTGTCCTCCCATGCTGTTGTCCACGTTCCTCGTCTCTCCCTGGCTCCTCGTGTTTGGTTTTCCCCAGATGTCTCCACTGTTTTGGTTTGCTTGATTATTAGTTGGATTTTTGCATTCCTGCCTTTGTTGCCGTTTTTGCCCCATTAAACTACCCAGAAATCTCCTCAGCCTGTCTGCCTCTGCATTTGGGTCCTCCAAACCTCAACCAAACCCTGACATTAGGAACCAACCACAATGGACCCAGCAGAGCCCAGTCTGGACACCCTAAGGGACTTTTTCCTCAATCTAGGCAATACTCTGGACTCAATATCCAACCTTACACCTCCTTGGAAGAGGGTGAGTGCAACTAGCCAACTTAAACAGATTCTCCTCTCAAACTCCACACTCATTTCTCCCCCAGTATTATCTGAACTGTTTGAAGAGTTGGAGTGGAACTACCAAGCAGCCAGCGCCCAGCTCCTCAGCAGACCTCCACCACCCAAACCATCTCTTCATCTCCTCCCTACCCTGCAGTCAATCGCCTCCGGTCCAGTTCCACCACCTTCACCAGCTGTTGGTCCCCCCATGCCGTCTGCCTCCTCCAGGCGTAAGCGCCGCCGGGGGAAGAAATCCACTCCCTCTCCGGCGGGTCAGCCTGACGCCTCCACTCCCTCTCCGGCGGGTCAGCCTGACGCCTCCACTCCCTCTCCGGCGGGTCAGCCTGACGCCTCCACTCCCTCTCCGGCGGGTCAGCCTGACGCCACCACTCCTTCTCCGGCGGGTCAGCCTGACGCCACCACTCCTTCTCCGGCGGGTCAGCCTGACGCCACCACTCCTTCTCCGGCGGGTCAGCCTGACGCCACCACTCCTTCTCCGGCGGGTCAGCCTGACGCCACCACTCCTTCACCGGCGGGTCAGCCTCACGCCACCACTCCTTCACCAGTGGGTCAGCCAGCTGCCAGTCTTAGCTCCCCTCATAACCAGGTCAGTTTCTCCCTAAATCTCAGTCGTCACCTCCATGACCAACAGCTAGCCCCATCCTTAAAGAAACTCATTATTACACCCCCTACAGTCAGTGCTCCCCATATTGAGGAGTCTCAATTATGGACCTTCTTTTATGGGGAGAGGGAATATCTTTTCCTTTCCCTGCCACCTCCATCAGCTCCATTGCCCAGTAGAGGGCCAGATTCCCTAGCTCCAGTGCCCAGTAGAGGGCCAGATTCCCTAGCTCCAGTGCCCAGTAGAGGGCCAGATTCCCTAGCTCCAGTGCCCAGCAGAGGGCCAGATTCCCTAGCTCCAGTGCCCAGTAGAGGGCCAGATTCCCTAGCTCCAGTGCCCAGTAGAGGGCCAGATTCCCTAGCTCCAGTGCCCAGTAGAGGGCCAGATTCCCTAGCTCCAGTGCCCAGTAGAGGGCCAGATTCCCTAGCTCCAGTGCCCAGTAGAGGGCCAGATTCCCTAGCTCCAGAGCCCATTAGAGGGCCAGTTTCCCTAGCTCCAGAGCCCATTAGAGGGCCAGTTTCCCTAGCTCCAGTCCCCGTTAGCGGTCCTGTTTCCCTAGCTCCAGTCCCCGTTAGCGGTCCTGTTTCCCTAGCTCCAGTCCCCGTTAGCGGTCCTGTTTCCCTAGCTCCAGTCCCCATTAGCGGTCCTGTTTCCCTAGCTCCAGTCCCCATTAGCGGTCCTGTTTCCCTAGCTCCAGTCCCCATTAGCGGTCCTGTTTCCCTAGCTCCAGTCCCCATTAGCGGTCCTGTTTCCCTAGCTCCAGCTTCCCCAGTGCCCATTAGCGGGGCAGCTTCCCCAGTGCCTGAGCCCATTAGCGGGGCAGCTTCCCCAGTGCCTGAGCCCATTAGCGGGGCAGCTTCCCCAGTGCCTGAGCCCATTAGCGGGGCAGCTTCCCCAGTGCCTGAGCCCATTAGCCGGGCAGCTTCCCCAGTGCCTGAGCCCATTAGCCGGGCAGCTTCCCCAGTGCCTGAGCCCATTAGCGGGGCAGCTTCCCCAGTGCCTGAGCCCATTAGCGGTCCAGCTTCCCCAGTGCCTGAGCCCATTAGCGGGCCGTTTTGCCTAGCGCCAGAGACTCCTGAGCCCATTAGCGGGCCGTTTTGCCTAGCGCCAGAGACTCCTGTGGCCATTAGCGGGCCGTTTAACCTAGCGCCAGAGGCTCCTGTGGCGATTAGCGGGCCGTTTAGCCTAGCGCCTGGGACCCCTGAGCCCGCTCAGAGTCATCCTGATATCCCTGAGCACACAAGTAAAAGGCTCTCTAAAATAAAGCTCAGCGGGCGCTCCGAGCCTCCACGGCCCCTCAGCGGGCGCTCCGAGCCTCCACGGCCCCTCAGCGGGCGCTCCGAGCCTCCACGGCCCCTCAGCGGGCGCTCCGAGCCTCCACGGCCCCTCAGCGGGCGCTCCGAGCCTCCACGGCCCCTCAGCGGGCGCTCCGAGCCTCCACGGCCCCTCAGCGGGCGCTCCAAGCCCCCTCTGAGGCTGTTCCTGTGCCGCAGTCGGCGTCCCCCAAGGTTCCTGCAGCTGCGTCTGAGACGGCGTCCCCCAAGGTTCCTGCAGCTGCGTCTGAGACGGCGTCCCCCAAGGTTCCTGCAGCTGCGTCTGAGACGGGGTCCCCCAAGGTTCCTGCAGCTGCGTCAGAGACTGCGTCGCCGCCGGCGACCACCAGAGACCCTCCTTCGTCAGAGACGGCGTCGCCGCCGGCGACCTCCAGAGACCCTCCTCCTTCGTCAGAGACGGCGCCGGCGACCTCCAGAGACCCTCCTCCTTCGTCAGAGACGGCGTCGGCGACCTCCAGAGACCCTCCTCCTTCGTCAGAGACGGCGTCGGCGACCTCCAGAGACCCTCCTCCTTCGTCAGAGACGGCGTCGGCGACCTCCAGAGACCCTCCTCCTTCGTCAGAGACGCCGCCGGCGACCTCCAGAGACCCTCCTCCTTCGTCAGAGACGCCGCCGGCGACCTCCAGAGACCCTCCTCCTTCGTCAGAGACGCCGCCGGCCTCCTCCTGGGGCCCTCCTCCTTCAGAGACTGCGTCGTCCTCGCCTCCGGCCCCACGGCCGTCCTCCAGAGGCCCACCTTCGTCCTCGCCTCCGGCCCCACGGCCGGCCTCCAGAGGCCCTGTCACATCGCCTCCGGCCCCACGGCCGGCCTCCAGAGGCCCTGTCACATCGCCTCCGGCCCCACGGCCGGCCTCCAGAGGCCCTGTCACATCGCCTCCGGCCCCACGGCCGGCCTCCAGAGGCCCTGTCACATCGCCTCCGGCCCCACGGCCGGCCTCCAGAGGCCCTGTCACATCGCCGTGTGGCCGGCCTCCAGAGACTCTGTCACCTCGCCTCCGGCCACACGGCCGGCCTCCAGAGACTCTGTCACCTCGCCTCCGGCCACACGGCCGGCCTCCAGAGACTCTGTCACCTCGCCTCCGGCCACACGGCCGGCCTCCAGAGACTCTGTCACCTCGCCTCCGGCCACACGGCCGGCCTCCAGAGGCCCTGTCACCTCGCCTCCGGCCACACGGCCGGCCTCCAGAGACTCTTCCTGGCCTCGGGCCTCGCGCCCTCCAGAGACTTTGTTTGCCCTCGCCTACCTTGGGTGGGTTGTTTTGGTTTTTGTTTGGACTCTGCGTTCGGTTTTGTATTTCGTGCCCTCCTTCCTGGTTCCCCCTCCGCCCACCCAGGGTGGGTTATTTTTTATTTATTTTTTTGTTTCTGGACATTTTAGGGCGTCTGGGATCCGCCCTTAAGTGGGGGGCACTGTCATGGTCTTGGTTCTGCTGTTCTTTACTTTGTTCCTTGTTTTCTAGATTTATTGGTTTAATTCCAGTTTTGTTGTATTTCTAGATTTATATTAGTTCTCATGTTTTTCTGTTGTCCCCTTTTGCCCTCTTGTGTGTGTATGTTCCTTTCCCCTTGGCTCCCTCGTTGTCTCCTCTCACACCTGTTCCTTGTCTGCTCGTTAGCCCTCCCTTTGTCTCTCTCTCCTATATATGCTCTCCCTCTGCTCTCACTCTTTGTTGGTTCCTTGTCTTTGCTGTCCTCCCATGCTGTTGTCCACGTTCCTCGTCTCTCCCTGGCTCCTCGTGTTTGGTTTTCCCCAGATGTCTCCACTGTTTTGGTTTGCTTGATTATTAGTTGGATTTTTGCATTCCTGCCTTTGTTGCTGTTTTTGCCCCATTAAACTACCCAGAAATCTCCTCAGCCTGTCTGCCTCTGCATTTGGGTCCTCCAAACCTCAACCAAACCCTGACACTGCGTCCCGGCCAATCACAGCGTCCGTCGCTGCCTGTCGTCGGGCAGATTAGCTGAGACTCATTCAACTGTAGGAAAGTTCTGATTCTTTGTTTTTTAATAATGAAACATAACTAAGGAAAACATTTCTACACAATAAATAATGATTTATTAAGTATGTAGTTAGAAAAATAAAAGTGGAATTTAAAGATAATTTCTTTGAACAATAAAGATTAATTTTCTAGAGCTTCTAACACAGAATCATAACTTTCTCTGAGTTTATTTACTTGTAAGCTGAGAAGCTTTACTTTATTTATTCCATTTATTATATTTATTCTCATAATTATAAAGAGGTTGGTTATTTTTTAAAGCAGGAGAAATGCTAAATAAACCTTTATAAAAAAATCATTTTTAGTTAAAGATAAAGTTAGTTTCCTTCTACTGTTCTGTCCATCATTAAAGCTGCTTAGAGATAAAGTTTTATTTTATTTTAAAGGTAAAACAAAAGCAGATTTTTAATAAAGGGGTTCGATCTGTTCTATCTTTCCATGACCTTTGACCTAAACTGAGACATTATTAGTTTCATTCAGTCCTTCTGTCCTTCAGGTTTCCATGACTCCTGCACACCTGAACACGTCCTGAACTGATTCTCCTGATCAACTCTGTCGTCTTTCCACAGATCGTCGGCTGACGGCTAAGGAGGCGGTTCTGGTTGCCCTGGTAACTGTTGCTATAGCAGCTCTTCTCATCATGGCGCTTTTCCTGGGATACCGGATGATAAAAAGTAAAAAACACACAAAATTTTTTTATAATTAACAAGAAAAATGTTTGCAGGAATAGAGATGAATAATCTTTATGCTAAAATAAAGGTCCTTTCTGTGCAATAAAAACAACATAAAAAAGTGATCAGATATAAACAATAGACTTTAGTTCCAATTGTCTCAGAATCTATTCAGTTCACATCATGTCATCTCATGTCACTTCATAGAGATGATTCAACTAGATCATAAAGTCAAGTTGATTCAAAGTTTTCTAAGGAAAACCAGCTGATTGCATCGACTCATTGACTCTTCAGCAATCCCTCACACTAAGCATGCTTGTAGCGACAGTGGAGAGGAAAAACTCCCTTTGAACAGGAAGAAACCTCCAGCAGAACCAGGCTCAGTGTGAGCGGCCATCTGCTGAGGCCCACTGGGGTTCAAGGAGACAGAAGCAGACATAGAAAAAGAAGCATAGATACAAAAGGCAACTGTCAACCAGCTCCACAGGCGGCCCCGTCCAGGAAACACACAGCCAGGCAGACGAGCTCCGAGCCAGCTCCCATATCAGAGGATGAAGAGAGCACATCCAGTTAGTCACAGTCAGAGAAACAGGACTACACTGGAAAACAGGCCAAGCTCCAACATCTAGAAACAAAGGTGTTGATGGCAGCAGCACAGCTGATATTTCTCTCCAGGATGGAGTCACAGCCAAACAGGAACAGACCAGATGAAGCTACTATGAGAAAAAGCAGAGAGAGCAGAACGTTAGAGATTGAACTAATAGAATCTGCAGAGTGGGAGAATAGAGATAGAATGAAGCAGAATGATGAAAAAGGGGTCCCTATGTCCTCCAGCAGTCTAAGCCTATAGCAGCAGAACTATAGAGATAGATCAGGATAACCTGAGTGTTTTGGACGAGGTATAAGGAAGGTAGAGCCACGGAGAAACGTCTATTCAGACTGAAATCCTTCCCCACCGGATTGGGCTGTAATCTGTAATCTTTAATTGGGTATAAACGGTAAAAAGGTTTAATGAATCATTAAATAAAATCCTACTATAAGAAGGACCTACTGGTACCGCTGGAGAACAGGTCCCTGATCGTTATTAAACACTGGATGAGGGTGAATGAACCCTGGTTTATAAACCTGGAGGTCATCCATGTAGATGCAATGGAAGACGCTGTAAAAAGATTTGACCCTGATTTTAATCCATTTAAATCGATTTAGGAACTGAATTTAAACATGAATTTAAAAAGAGACATTACGGAGTTTTCTAATGATGCTGCCACCTGTGACCAAAAGACAGAACTGCAGATCTATTCTGCTCTATTCTGCTCTATTCTGCTCGTCCTAATAGTTTATTTCTGACTTTTTTCACCTTACCTTGAGTTTTCGATGGTGTCTGAGTTCAGCTGGATGCTGCTGAAGGAACCAGATCTGCTTCCTATCAGTGACGTTACGCTACAGGATTGGCTGAACGTTGCCACATGATGTAAACATAGTGGTTGCCCTGACAACGATAATAGCAGTTAGATAATAGTTTTACCTGATCGATCACAAAACTGAAAAACATCTGATCAGGTGAACAAAGTAAATGTTAGACCGTGATATAAAGAGGTAGCGCTGTGGCTAGCTGTAGCTAACAGGTTAGCCTCTTTAGCTCGCTCAGTTAGCCTGATTAAGCTATGCTACTTTTAAATCCGTGTCAACAACAATCGTTCATTTTCTACAAGTAGAATAACTGTTTTATTTGTCTAAAATCTCTATAAAAAGTAATTTTTTAGGATCAGATCTTAATAAAAAGAATAAAAATAAACTGAGACTTTTTTTGTCACCTTGTTAAATAGCAGAGCTCAGTCTGTCTTAGAAGGCAGGACTTTCCTTCCAGACTGACAATGATTGTTTTCTACTTTCTGCTAATTTAGATCAAAGATGAAATGGAAAAATAATAGCAAATATATAATATATTGAGACTCCATTTGATTCTTAATAAACGGGCGCAATATAGTTTGTCTGAGTGGAGTTGCCATATAATGACCTAACATGAAGGGGCGGGGCCTCGAGCAGATCTGGTACCTACAGCGGATGCTTCTGAGTTTCCACAGAATCCATCTTGAATTTACTTCTTGCCTTAACGTCAGGTCTGCAGAAAAGAACGGCTGATAGATGCATCAATGCAGAACTACTGAGGCGTCAGTCTGACCATCAAACAGGTTTAGTTCTAAAGGGTCAAATAAAAAGTTAATAAAAATGTTTTTCAGTAAAAACTTACAAAATCTCTCTTAAATAGAACTTTTTAAAATTTATTTCACCAAAATCAGCAATTAAAATGGGATAAAGTTGGTTTGTTTTAATATTCTCATTTAATATAAGCAAGAACATTTGCATTGTATTAATTGAAGTCCATTTTATCTAATTATCTTATTTTAGGAGTAGAAACCCTCATTCCATTTGCATACCATCTCATTTCTCTACTCAAATTAAGGGTAAATATACTTAATGGTATATATTTTTTTACTTATTTCTAGATCGTTTTTGCAGTGCATTTATGATCAGAACATTGAAAACATTTCGACCAACTGGAACCAGTATAAGGAGTTTGATCTCCAGCTGGATCCAGTGTGAAGGCTATGGAATCGCTGGAGCTAATAAGATTTTATAGTTTCCATGTTTTAATCAGGATAGAATAAATCCCTGCTGTGGCCTGTGGGGGACGCTGTGGCCTGTGGGGGACGCTGTGGCCTGTGGGGGACGCTGTGGCCTGTAGGGGGCGCTGTGGCCTGTAGGGGACGCTGTGGCCTGTAGGGGTCACTCTGGCCTGTAGGCGGCGCTGTGGCCTGTAGGGGTCACTCTGGCCTGTAGGGGACGCTGTGGCCTGTAGGGGGCGCTGTGGCCTGTAGGGGGCGCTGTGGCCTGTAGGGGTCGCTGTGGCCTGTAGGGGTCGCTCTGGCCTGTAGGGGGCGCTGTGGCCTGTAGGGGTCTCTGTGGCCTGTAGGGGGCGCTGTGGCCTGTAGGGGGCGCTGTGGCCTGTAGGGGGCACTGTGGCCTGTAGGGAGCGCTGTGGCCTGTAGGGGTCGCTCTGGCCTGAAGGGGGCGCTGTGGCCTGTAGGGGGCGCTGTGGCCTGTAGGGGTCACTCTGGCCTGTAGGGGTCACTCTGGCCTGTAGCGGACGCTGTGGCCTGTAGGGGGCGCTGTGGCCTGTAGGGGTCACTCTGGCCTGTAGGGGACGCTGTGGCCTGTAGGGGGCGCTGTGGCCTGTAGGGGGCTCTGTGGCCTGTAGGGGACGCTGTGGCCTGTAGGGGTCGCTCTGGCCTGTAGGGGGCTCTGTGGCCTGTAGGGGGCGCTGTGGCCTGTAGGGGGCGCTGTGGCCTGTAGGGGTCACTCTGGCCTGTAGGGGACGCTGTGGCCTGTAGGGGGCGCTGTGGCCTGTAGGGGGCACTGTGGCCTGTAGGGGACGCTGTGGCCTGTAGGGGTCGCTCTGGCCTGTAGGGGGCGCTGTGGCCTGTAGGGGGCACTGTGGCCTGTAGGGGGCGCTGTGGCCTGTAGGGGGCGCTGTGGCCTGTAGGGGGCACTGTGGCCTGTAGGGGGCGCTGTGGCCTGTAGGGGTCGCTCTGGCCTGTAGGGGGCGCTGTGGCCTGTAGGGGGCGCTGTGGCCTGTAGGGGGCGCTGTGGCCTGTAGGGGGCACTGTGGACTGTAGGGGTCACTGTGGCCTGTAGGGGGGCGCTGTGGCCTGTAGGGGGCGCTGTGGCCTGAAGGGGGCACTGTAGCCTGTAGGGGGCGCTGTGGTCTGTAGGGAGAGCTGTGGCCTGTAGGGGGCGCTGTGGCCTGTAGGGGGCGCTGTGGCCTGAAGGGGGCACTGTGGCCTGTAGGGGTCACTGTGGCCTGTAGGGGGCGCTGTGGCCTGTAGGGGGCGCTGTGGCCTGAAGGGGGCACTGTAGCCTGTAGGGGGCGCTGTGGTCTGTAGGGAGAGCTGTGGCCTGTAGGGGGCGCTGTGGCCTGTAGGGGGCGCTGTGGCCTGTGGGGGGCGCTGTGGTCAGGTTATTATGTAAAGGATCTGTTCCTGCAGGCTTCCTGCTGGCAGACGGAGCCTTCATGTCTGTTTCCTGTTGCAGCCTCTCACACACAAACTTGTTTTCCTGTCATTGTGAGGTCTGTTGTTAAAGCAGGACTAGAAATAAAACCCGGACCGGACTGGACCTGGACCGGACTGGACCCGTTCATTTGGACGTCTGAGAGATAAACACAGATAAATAAATCCCATGTAATGTTTGTAAAGATAAACCTGAATAATAATTCCTGTAAATCATTTATAAGCAGCTGCAGCTGTTTTTCTACGTTAACAGAGGCGGAGTTTAACACTTTGTGCAGATTTATAGATGCCAGTCATTCCTGCAGTCTGAGCCTGAACAGCACCATTAAATGGCTGTTATCAGCTCCTCTGGTCAGAAACATTCAGATAGCTTCCTGTTTCTGATCTCTGTCCGCGCTCTGAGGCAGCGTGACGTCAGCGCTGTTTTTATGCATTCCTTTGCAGCCGTGGGACGTTCATTAAAGAGCCTGTTTAAAGCCAGACTGTAGGAAACAAACACAGGAGCAGCCAAACATGCAGCAGTAAACCCTCTGATGAAATCTGCTGTTAGACCATAAACAACAGGATCAGTGGGTGGAGCATAGAAACAACCATCACTGTATTATTATTACAGATGGCAGATTACCTGAGCTTGTTGGTTTTTTTTGCAGTGAACAGGGACAGCAGGTCATGATGGTGTCTGCAGGTCATTGGTAAATCATCTTATCTACTCAAATTAAGGAGAAATGCACTTAATTTAAGACATTTTACTTATTTCTAGATTTTCTTTGCAGTATAGAAGTGTTTAGCTTAAAATAAATCTGTGCAGAATGACTAGAAAGATAATGTAACATGTAATTTAATCCTATATGAAATTGAAGAGGAGAAAGAAGACGTATGATCATCTTAGCCTTATCAGGGTTTCTGCGGGTCATTAAAAATCATTGAAACTCATTTAATTATTAGTTTTTAAATTAAGGACATATCTGGCATTGAGCTGCAGGAGCCTCTCAGAAATCCTAAACTCCATCAAGCTTTGGAATATTGAACGTTCGCTTATTCCTAGTAACTTTGCAATACATGGGATTGTCTGCATTCGGCCTTGCAGCTTTTCCTGCTGAATGCTGAATGCTTTACTTCACAACTTAGAGGTTCGTCAGTCTCCACTTTAAGTAAACTGCACAGTGTTCTTATGCTACTTAGAATCTACACTCAACGGCCACTTTATTAGGTACACCTGTCCAACTGCTCGTTAACACTTAATTTCTAAGCAGCCAATCACATGGCGGCAACTCAGTGCATTTAGGCATGTAGACATGGTCAAGACAATCTCCTGCAGTTCAAAGCGAGCATCAGTATGGGGAAGAAAGGTGATTTGAGTGACTTTGAACGTGGCATGATTGTTGGTGCCAGAAGGGCTGGTCTGAGTATTTCAGAAACTGCTGATCTACTGGGATTTTCACGCACAACCATCTCTAGGGTTTACAGAGAATGGTCCGAAAAAGAAAAAACATCCAGTGAGCGGCAGTTCTGTGGGCGGAAATGCCTTGTTGATGCCAGAGGTCAGAGGAGAATGGCCAGACTGGTTGGAGCTGATAGAAGGGCAACAGTGACTCAAATAACCACCCGTTACAACCAAGGTGGGCAGAAGAGCATCTCTGAACGCACAGTACGTGGAACTTTGAGGCAGATGGGCTACAGCAGCAGAAGACCACACCGGGTGCCACTCCTTTCAGCTAAGAACAGGAAACTGAGGCTACAATTTGCACAAGCTCATGGAAATTGGACAATAGAAGATTGGAAAAACGTTGGCTGGTCTGATGAGTCTCGATTTCTGCTGCGACATTCGGATGGTAGGGTCAGAATTTGGCGTCTACAACATGAAAGCATGGATCCATCCTGCCTTGTATCAACGGTTCAGGCTGGTGGTGGTGGTGTCATGGTGTGGGGAATATTTTCTTGGCACTCTTTGGGCCCCTTGGTACCAATTGAGCATCGTTGAAACGCCACAGCCTACCTGAGTATTGTTGCTGACCATGTCCATCCCTTTATGACCACAATGTACCCAACTTCCACTGCATGAAAAGTGGGATTTTCGTCAATATACGGCACTGTAGATTGTCGTGGAACTTCAGGTTAGCGGCAGTATACGGCAATTTGCAGGCTTCGACGAAAACTCCCGTAAATTGTCAGAAATTGACGTGGAATTTCTTAGGCAGTGTTCCCCCCATGCCTCCCCCCCATGGAATTCTAGGGGAGGCTTTAACATGTAAATGAACATGCTGTGAGCTATACAAATGCAAACCAGGGTTGCAGGGGGGGTTTTACCCCCCCCTGCAACCCTGGGTAAGAAAATCTCTGATACAAAGAGATCAGGTATAGCCTCTTACATTTTAGCTTGAATTGATTTATTTAATTAAAGTATAGAGACCAAAACAGATCTTTAGCTGACAGAGCAATACATTTAGAGCAGTAATTATTTTTTTTTAATCTCAATTCACAATTACTTAAGTGGAAAAGTTTCAAGAAATGATTCTGAGATGATTCACTTTATAACATGGCGCATTATCCTGTTGGAAGTAGCCATCAGAAGATTGGTACACTGTGGTCATAAGGACATAGGTCAGCATGCTAAATTGGTTTTAAGTGGCCCAAAGTGTGGCAATAAATATCCCCCAAATAGATGGTAGAAATAGATCAGGCTCAGTATAGCCTAATTATAGACTCTTACATTTTAGCTTGAATTGATTTATTTAATTAAAGTACGCTAGATTACTGTGTATGCAAATGTTATGTAAAAAAAATACACAAAATAATTTACTTCAAAAATTAGTTTTAATCAGAATCAGTTGGCTGTAATGGTTAATTTTTTTTTTTAGATTTCCACTTTTTTTTTTTTTTTTGTTATTGAATATATAAGAAAACAATAACAATCTCAAATAACAAGTCAATAACAAATATTTCAATACAAGAAGAAATATCACAACTCCTGCTTTTGAAAAATAAAATTAAATGCACAGGCTGGAACAAAGTATAAAATAAAATAAAATAAATAAAAATAAATAAAATAATAATAGTAGTTAAAGTAAATTAATCAGTGGGGACTACTTACTGAAATTCTTCAATTAACTCAAACAATTTAATTGCATTTAAATTCTGCATCTTTCTCAGACATCTTTTGAAAAGGGAAAGTTCATTTTTGAGAGCAGAGATTGAGAGGGAGCATTTTGCATAGCGACATTTATGGATATAATACTTTGTTACAATTATTAGAATATTGATTAAAAATTCCAATTTTTTTTTTTCTTTAATGGATAAACCGAATTGAATGTTTTGCCAGGAAATAAAATCTAAATTTATTGTTTTAGTTTTTGGGAATATATACAAACTATGCTCTAATTTCTAGATACCGATCTGTTTTTACTATAATTTAATTTGACAAACCGGGTCTTCTCTACATTCTTTTTTCTGTTTGGTGCGATTGCAATAGCGGGTCTTGATCTGGATGGACCGGAGGGGAGCAAAAAATAGCTCAGCTCCGTATTTTGACGGTGAAGGACGGAGAAGACGTACGTGGGCGGTGACGAGCGGAGGATGTGGAACAGCTCTCATTGATTTACATGACAGACAAGTAATACAGATAGTAGGATGGACATTTTATTAGAAATAAATCATACACTGTTCAGAATACGAAACATGGGGCTGATAGTTACATTTGTGTGGGTTCCAGCACATATTGGGGCGGAAGGAAACGAGAGGGCAGATAAAATGGCAAAAAGGGCAATTAAACATTCTATTAGTTTTATAGTTAAAATAAGTAAATCAGAAGGAAAGAGTATTATTAAAGAGAAACTTATGGAAATTTGGCAAAAAAGGTGGGATGAAGATAAAACAGGAAGATGGTTTTATGAAATTCAGAAGATGGTAGGAGAAAGAAGAAATGGAAGAAGAAATAAAAAGGATGAAAGAGTGATAACAAGGTTAAGATTTGGTCATACAGGACTTAATCATACACTTTTTAAAATACAAAAACATAAAACGGGCAAATGTGATTTCTGTGATAAATATGAAACCATAGAACATGTTATATTAGAATGTCATAAATATGAAAAAGAGAGAAGATATATGAGAAGAGAGTTTGAAGACATTAAGGAGAAGGTTAATTTATTAGATATACTGAGGAAAAATTTAGGGAGTAAACACATACAAATAATTATTCGATTTCTAAAGAAAACGAAATTATTCCATAGAATTTAATTATAGTAAGTGTGTTTGTGAGTGAAGGAATGATATACAAAGCTGTGCACAAATATGTTTATATTTTTAAGTGTGAATGTGTGAATGTATGCTTAGAAGAAGTTAGGGTAGAATGTATCAGGATCAATATTTAAACCATCACGAACCACACTCCATACCAGTAAGTGGCGGTAATGCTACTAACAGTTTGTTGCCAACCGCCATAAAACTCGACAAGAAGAAGAAGAAGACAGACAAGTACTCCGTACGTGAGCGGGGCGGAGCGCTGACGGAGTATGTGGAATCTGGGGGTAAAGGAGGACAAATACACGTCCGGCTGGGTGCAGCGCCGGACGCCGGACAGTGCAATGAAAATCCGGACTGTCCGCCCTAAAGCCGGACATCTGGCCACCCTAATACGAACTCGAGGAAGAGAAGACGGGTGCACAACGCCACGCTAGCGGTAAATATTTGTTCGATTACTGGTAGCTATGCTAAAAGCAGCCTAGCTTAGCTAGGCAAGCTAAAGACAGCCTAGCCTAGCTAGGTAAGCTAAAAGCAGCCTAGCCTAAAGCTTTACTAAAGTGTATTTTTTGTGATTCACAGGAAGCATTATGCCGTCTTAACAACTCGGAGACTAATTGCAGGCGCTATGAACCGGAGCAGGGGTAAGGTTTAAAGAATATGCTTTCATTCTGCGGTAAAAGGACATGGATACGGATGGATACCGACCATAGCTGTACTTTTTTTTTTTTCACAGACTACAGTCGCCTCACAATGAGGCGGTGACCTCCTATTTGCTCGGATTTGCACGATGTTGATAAAGACGACATTGTGTGTAAGTGACTTGTTTTAATGTTTTCTCCTTCCTTGTTACTGTGACTTGCGTTTGATTTTTTTTATTTTTTTATTCATACCACTCTCATTTAATTGTTTTCCAGCTACCTGTGAGACTGTATGCAGGAGCTTCAGATACACGCTGCTAGCCAGCACGCTGCGTGCGGAGGCTGCCAGGCTATCTGCTCGGAGTCGGGCAAGACGAAAGAGGGTAAGACTTTATTTGGTGACTATTTTTCGGGTGCATTGATAGATGTGTTGTGTCCATATGCAGTGCGCTGATTCATGTTTTTTTTTTTTTTTCAGCTGCTGAAGGCGAGGCAGAGTGTGCTAGCAGATGAGGAAGTGGAACTCTGGAAGTCCGCCTTCCTCGGCGGTGTCTCTGGATGGATTGTACGGTCGCCGCCATTTCGTAGGCCGGATCTCACTGAACTCTGTGTTAAGCTGCAGTCCCGGTTAGAAGCGATGTCGAAGTACAAGGCCACGCACAGTAGGCGTCTGCACATCGGACCTGCCTCGGAGGGAATGCTGCCTGTTACCTCCAACCCCGAGGAAGCAAACGGACCGTTCACGGAGTTGTAATTTTTAGATACGCATGTGTTTGGATACGCGTTGTATATAGTTGTGTGTGTTTTAATAAAGCTCTTTCTTTGCATAAACAGCTTCCTGGCAAATCTTCATTTCCTGTATAAATTCATTCATGTCCTTGATGGTAGCATAATAATTGTGTAGTAGTGTAGGATAACATAAATACACAGCATATGAATCAATAAATATATGAATGAATAAATATATGAATATATATATATATATATGAATGAATAAATATATATATATATATATATATATATATATATATATATATATATATATATATATATATATAAATAAATATATATGTAAATATATATATATGCCAACCAATCACGAGCGACTTCACTTGTTTAAAAAGAAGTGGTTCCGTCCAATACTCAGTAAGAAAATTAAAGCCTGGCGTGGCCACGTGTGGTTTTGCTGCCAATCACGAGCGATTTCATTTGTTTGAGAATAGTGGTTTCAGCCAATACTGAGAAGGTTATTCAAGCCAGACCTGGCCAGCCGCGCGGGTTTGCTGCATTCATATGCTAATTAGGGCCATTAGTACAGCTGATCGCTCTCCACCTACGTCACTGTCCGTTTCCGACAATTTGTGGCACGACAAACGCGGACAAGCACGGGTTGCAAATTGTCGGAAACTGACGAAAATCAGGCAGATCTGCGGGAGTTTACGGGGGTTTACGGGGACGAAAATCTCACTTTTCATGCAGTGTTCTGATGGCTACTTTCAGCAGGATAATGCGCCATGTCATAAAGCTGGAATCATCTCAGACTGGTTTCTTGAACATGACAATGAGTTCACTGTACTCAAATGGCCTCCACAGTCACCAGATCTCAATCCAATAGAGCATCTTTGGGATGTGGTGGAACGGGAGATTCGCATCATGGATGTGCAGCCGACAAATCTGCGGCAACTGTGTGATGCCATCATGTCAATATGGACCAAACTCCCTGAGGAATGCTTCCAGCACCTTGTTGAATCTATGCCACCAAGAATTGAGGCAGTTCTGAAGGCAAAAGGGGGTCCAACCCGTTACTAGCATGGGGTACCTAATAAAGTGGCCGGTGAGGGTATACTGTAATAGCAACATGCTCTGCTGCTGCTTCAACTAAAACATGTTGATGAAAGCACAGGAAATGAAGATACTCCATCTTTGTGTCAGGGTGGCTGAGCACATGTTGCATTTTGTTCACCAATCTCTCCAGGATTTGATGTCTCAGCAGAGTCTGTAAGAATTATAGAAAATAATATTATAGTTATTCTGAAGTATCATTTTGGAGAAGTAGAAAAAAGTATAAATTTTAAAAGGTAGATAAAAACAGAAATACTTTTTTTTTGACAAAAACTTAAAATGTTGGATAGTCATCATTTCCATCTTGCTGTGAAAACTGGTGAAATGTCATTTTAAACACTTAGTTGAAGAATGATTGTTTGGCATGCCATACTTTATAGTTAGACTAAATGTGCATAATAATAAAAGAGTGGAACTAAAACATGATCTAAAATTATTATGCAGCTGTAACTCGCTAAAAGTAATATGAGAAACTATCTTATAGAAATGTGACAGTTTTCTTGGTCTAAAGAGAAGATTTTTTTCATGGTTTTAACAGGCGCTATAGTGGCCATCTTGACTGCTGCAAATAAATCTCATCTAATTCATTTAGTAAGTTTGTTCACTTATGGGGCTAAATCCCAGATCAAAGAGGTTTCTAGAATTTCCTTCTTTCATCTGAGGAATATTGCAGAAATGAGCAATCTCCTGTCCAGGGGTGATGCTGAGAAACTAGTCCATGCATTTGTTACTTCAAAGCTGGACTATTGTAATTCTTTACTATCAGGAAGTCCACAAATTGTAGTTAAAAGCCTTCAGCTGATCCAAAATGCTGCAGCCAGAGTTCTGATGAAAATGAAAAAGAGAGATCATCTCTCTCCTATCCTGGCTTCTCTTCATTGGCTTCCTGTTAAATCCAGAATAGAATTTAAAATCCTCCTTCTCACATATAAAGCCTTAAATGGCCAAGCTCCATCTGATATCAGAGATCTGATTGTTCCTTATGTTCCTAACAGAGCACTTCGCTCTCAATCTGCAGGTTTACTAGTGGTTCCTAGAAATTCTAAAAGTAGAATGGGAGGCAGATCTTTTAGTTCTCAGGCTCCTCTCCTGTGGAACCAACTACCAGTTTTAGTCCGTGAGGCAGACACCCTGTCTACTTTTAAGGCTAGGCTTAAAACTTTCCTTTTTGATAAAGCTTCTAGTTAGAGTGGCTCAGGTTATCCTGAGCTATCTCTATAGTTCTGCTGCTATAGGCTTAGACTGCTGGAGGACATAGGGACCCCTTTTTCATCATTCTGCTTCATTCTATCTCTATTCTCCCACTCTGCAGAATCTGTTAGTTCAATCTCTAACGTTCTGCTCTCTCTGCTTTTTCTCATAGTAGCTTCATCTGGTCTGTTCCTGTTTGGCTGTGACTCCATCCTGGAGAGAAATATCAGCTGTGCTGCTGCCATCAACACCTTTGTTTCTAGATGTTGGAGCTTGGCCTGTTTTCCAGTGTAGTCCTGTTTCTCTGACTGTGACTAACTGGATGTGCTCTCTTCATCCTCTGACATGGGAGCTGGCTCGGAGCTCGTCTGCCTGGCTGTGTGTTTCCTGGACGGGGCCGCCTGTGGAGCTGGTTGACAGTTGCCTTTTGTATCTATGCTTCTTTTTCTATGTCTGCTTCTGTCTCCTTGAACCCCAGTGGGCCTCAGCAGATGGCCGCTCACACTGAGCCTGGTTCTGCTGGAGGTTTCTTCCTGTTCAAAGGGAGTTTTTCCTCTCCACTGTCGCTACAAGCATGCTTAGTGTGAGGGATTGCTGAAGAGTCAATGAGTCGATGCAATCAGCTGGTTTTCCTTAGATAGAAAACTTTGAATCAATCTGACTGGATGATCTGGTTGAACTGTAAAGTGACCTGAGATGACATGATGTGAATCGGAGCTATAGAAATAAACTGAATAGAATTGAATAGAGGGAGCTGTCATGAAAGAGGGGCTCAGAAAGCTCATCCAGACTAGTTTTATTATCAGCCACAGTCTCATCTAACAGGAAACAGGCTCCATCCACCAATGAACTGTTTATTAATCAGAACTGAATCAGTTTTAGAGCAGAAAGTCTCTGTGAAAAAGCCTCAAACTGATCAACAATAACCTGAACTCCTCTGAGTTGATGTGCAGAGCCTGAACTTTCTACAGCAGCTTTCAGTGTAGAAAGTATCTCATCCTGTTAGCAGCAGCAGTTTTTCTCTTATTCTACAGATTTGAATAAAATCTTATTCTAGAAACGTGCCTTTCTGTTTGATGACATCTAATAAATAATCTGGTTCCAGTGAGAACCTGCAGAGGTGATTTAAGGTCATAGTTTGGCAAAGCTGAGAAACATGAGAGGATGTGGGCGGGTTGGACCTGCTGATCCACTTTCTTATTATTCTTTCTGTTTCCAGAGAACTCAGAGTGAAACAAACCAGAAACTAACCTGAGGGGAAAATAAGTTTAACTGAACAGAGATGAAGGAGAATCATCAAACTGATCATTTTCTCCTGAACTGAAGTTTTTTCCTGTAGAAAAACAATCAGCCTGAATAACAGCAGGAAACACCTACAGACCCCAAACTCTGCAGCCATCTTGTTTTTATCTTCACTCATTTTAAGGCCTTTAATGTCGAATAATTATTCTGTTACAGCTTTTCTTTTCTGATCCTCTGCTGTTTGTTTTCTTTCTAACACATTCATCCAGTTTTGTTAGATAATCTATAATAGATTTCAGGTTGAAATAAACTGATCCAGTGGTGATACAGCAGATAAACTAATTCCTGCAGATGTCAGATGGATCCTTATCAAACAATTATCAGTTGAATCAGTTTATTGGTGGATTCTCCTCATGCTGATTGTGCTCCATGAGATCCCACAGTGGACCATGATGGGACCAGTAAACCCAGCAGAGATATTAGCCCCCCCTTGTTCTCAAACTAGGGTCAGACTGATGTAATTAAGTATTAATATCTGAATCCTTCATCATCATAGAAAGTTAAATATATCTGGATATCAGGAGCTGGAAGCTTAATGCGGCTGAAGCAGGAAGTCATTTTAATTCAACTAAAATCGTTTCATCTATTGAGCTAAAACTCTGTGTTGAACATAGATTTTCATTAGTAGATCTCATCATTTTATCCATCATAACTTGTTCAGACTTGGTTTGTTCTACATTCCACCAGCAGCTCTGATCCAACCAGGAACAATAAAAACTGGTTTAACCAGGAACCTCAGATCAACAGCAGAGGGAAACTTTAGTTACTTTCAGTTTGTCTGGAGAAACAGTTTTAGTAGAGAAATCTTTCTGTTAGGATTTGGTGTTTATAGACAGAAGAAGATGAAGCTGTTTGCTGCGTTTTTCTTCCTCCTTTACGGTAAGATCATCTTCCTCTCTCCAAGCTTAGGTTCAATCTGATGATGTTCGTTTTTCTCTTTTTCTCAGTAACATCATAACTGGATTCATTTATCTGTTCAGCAGAGCTATAAAACACAGAACCTTATTTTTAATCAGAAAATTCTTCCTTCATTTTATCGTGACCAAGATCATTTTAGATTAAGCAAAGAAAAGTGGAACTTAAAGAGTATCTTGGTATTAGCTGCATATTTACAGACATGACTTCCTTACAGAAGCTTCAAAACCTTTGGAGTCAAAGTAAAATCCAGACCTCAGCAGACTGTGACCAATAATATCATTAATTGACCTGAGAAGCTGTTCACACTGTTTCCCAATGAGATAAGAGGCGTTTATTTACAGTGAAGGCAGAAAACTTCCATCCAACATCAGCAAACGTACCGCTGGTCTTTGTCTTTAGAAAACTTTAAATGCATCTTTATCCATCCATGGTTTCTATGGGTGAACTATGTGGGGTATTGCTGGATGATGGTAGTCAGACGATAAATTAAAGAAATGTGTGTTGAAAAAGAAAAGCAGATTACACTCAGTAACCCTAATCCATTTATTTATTAGAGATTTAAGACACTAAAGTAATTCTTGGTCTTAACCCTTCATAGGGCAAGTTAGCGTTTTTGATCACCTGTATACCCTTACAAATGTAGTACCCCCTGTCCCTCAGTGAGGTCTAGAAGCAGAAGATCTATATCCAGCTAATCAGCAAAGCTACTGCTATATGGCTGTAAATCTTATTTTGACGTTTGACTATTTAGATGAGCCCTTGAATGTTATATTACCTACTGTAAATTAAATAGAAAAAAAAATTAAGTCAAGAAAAACAGGTAAAAAGCTAATTGAAAAGTTAAAAAGTAAAGTTCAAAAGTTAATAAGCCCATTTAACAATTATATTTAGGTTAATAAACTAAAAAATGCAGGTGCCAGTATCAGCATTAATGCCTCTAAGGTTATGTTTCACCAAAAAAATGTGTTTCTTTTACTCTTGTTGTTTTTCTTAATATATTCGGGTAAGTTGGCGTATCACTAATACATCACTAATTTAGAGAAATGGGAATGTTTTCAGAACAATTCACAATGCAAATCCATGAGGTGAATAAAACATTATTTGGCCAAATAATGTTTTATTGAATGATTTGCTTAATCAGGAATCAGTAACCTTTAGATAATGATTCTTTACCCTCTTTGAAATAGCTAGCAGCGAATAGACATCAGGATTCCACTAAATGACTCTTGGTCATACTTGCTAATGGAAATGTAATGAGCATCTGAGGAACACATGAACACTAATGTTATATCAGTTTTTAACCCTTAGTGAATAAAGCTTGTCCAAGCTTTAGCAACAGCTCAGAACATATTCCTGTAGCATAGTGTAGCATGCAATCTATTGTGTTAGCTTTGTTGTTACTCATCCGTAAAAACATGAAATGATCAACATCATCAAAATACATAATGTTTGTTCTGTACCTAATTATGCCAGACCTGCAAACCTTTTTGTCTATTTTCATTTGGAAGACTTAAGTTTCATCCAGCAGCAGCTCAGCAGTCAGGCCAACAGCAAGGCTGGCTCTCTCTGTCTCAGTAGCTCACAGCAGGGCAGGCTTCCTTGTCTGGTATGGCTCTATAGGTTCTGAAATTAAACAGAAATGTGTTCCAAAAGGTCTGTTTTGCAGCAGTCTGGTTCTGAATGGTCACCATAATGACTTATTCTTGTGGATTCTGGAGATCTGGGTCTTTTTGGGCCCAGATCCTGCCGAAGTGAACCCCAGTTTCATGGGCAAGAGAAATGAGGCAAAGAGAGAGAATCCTGTGTGCTCTGCGGGTTTCCTGTCCTCACAGAGAGGGGCTGACTGTCATGATGGGTTTTAAATGTTTTGCCCACATGCAGAAACGCACTCAGAGACAAAGAAAAAGTTGAACAGTTTATTGAGGGAGAGTGGCACTCAGAGAGACAAAACACAGGATTCTCAGCGGGGGGGCATATCCAGCGGTCTGGTGAACCGGAACTGGAAAGTAGTTGTTGTCTTGTGGTCGCTCCTTGGTTTCTGTTTGTGGGGGTTGTTCGGATAAGGCGATTACTTGCTGGAGCGTGGACAGGCAGACTTGTTGGTGTCCAGAGGAGCAGCGGAGCGGACTGTAAACGAGCTTTCATGAAGGGGACCGCAAACAGAAGCGGTGAATGTTTTCCTGAATCTCAGAGAGACGAATGGGTTCCTTCCAAGGCTTGAAGGACCAGGCTTATCCAGTGGATCAGGTGATAATCCTGCCGAAGACCACAAAGGAGACAAAGGGTTAGATCAGAGGACTCTCAGAGACAAAAACCCAAAATTAGACACTGCTAAGCTCTGAGAGGCTAGAGTACCCAATACTGCCAAACACTCTGGCGTTGAGGCGGTGACAGTCCGCTGCTCAAGTACTCCTCTGGTGATGACCCAACAACGGTGGAAAACCGGAAGAGGCCCTCCATGCCAACAGGGGAAAGGGCACCATCTAGTGGATGGATGGAGACACTAAAAAGGAAACACAAAAACATCACATCACACTTATTTCAACCATTAAAAAAAAGAGTTCTTATAACCAGCACAGATTAAACATCAGCATTAGATCGAGATTTCACTTTTATCTGCCTGTCTTCGCCCAAGCACAGCACCTCATTAAATCATCAAATAGAAAAGTAGATGGGCTTTACTTTGAGACGTATTGGAAGCATCTCACTCGGTTCATCAGGGCTCTGTGCACAATGAATCACTGCGATCCGTGACTTTTGACGCAGGAAAAGGAAAGCTACTTCCAGCTAGCTTTCTTTAGCGTTTCACGTGAAACGGGCCTCTCCTCGCAGGCGTTGAAACCCAGGGGAAAGAGATGGATTCGGTCTTGGACTTTGGATTTAAACCCTGAATGATGTAGGGGTATTTCCTGCTGGGATTCCAGCCTTCTTGTCAGCTGATTGGTCCATGCGTAAGCTGAGTGTCCCCTTGGCGGGAACTTTCCAGAACAAGTCTCTTTGTGGAAAAGGGAGGCGGAGGTTTTTATGTAGTTTGATGTTGTTCAAATTGATTTGGCTCCGTTGTGGCAATATAATCCAACAGTGGCCACAAAAAAAAACTATACTTGCAAAGATCTGCATCCATTATTATATAGAGGAAGAACTTTAAATCTAGTTATTGGGTTTTATTACATTTTAATCAGTTTATATAAAGCATCAATTAACTGTATGTTGTGACCTAAATGTGAGCAAATTGTCCCCTGTATCTAAATTATTTTAACACACTAAACATGTCTTTGTCTTTCAGCCTCTCAGGATTCTTTGACTGTAAAACTTGAAGTTCAGGAAGGAGCTCCATCTGTTCTGCTTCCCTGTCACTACAGCAAAGTATTAGAAGAGATTGTTACAGTGAAATGGAGCCGCTATGATCTCAATCCTGATATAGTTCATCTACGGAGGGAAGGAGACGACCTACGGGAACAAAATCAGCAGTTCAGAGGACGAACATCAATGAGACCTGATGCTTTAGACTCCCTGGACTTCAGCCTGACTCTGAAAGACCTTCAACTTCCTGACAGCGGCGTCTACATCTGCAGCATGATTGATGAGACAGAAGAAGAAATGCTGGCAGACGTTCGGCTGCATGTCAAAGGTCAGGTTTATTCTGTTATACTCCTACATTATAATGCCCCCTTCCTCCAGTCAGAGGCGTGCACAGGCATTTTGGGGGGCAGGTGCACAGGAGGGGGGTGGAGGGCACTTTTTAGCGCACGTAGAACACTTAATTATAAAAAAAAAAATACACACGCATGTTGAATGAAATTTGACTTTTATTTGTAACATTCTCTAAACGTGAATTTTCAATGGAAAAAAGTCACATCACCAACAGAACAGACTAAAGCTTGCTCATCTTTCTTCTTCTTTCATCTGGCTCATCTCCTTGTTTTCCCTCACCCATCTGCTCTCCCTCACCCATCTGCTCTCCCTCACCCATCTGTTTTCCCTCACCCATCTGTTCTCCCTCACCCATCTGCTCTCCCTCACCCATCTGTTCTCCCTCACCCATCTGTTCTCCCTCACCCATCTGCTCTCCCTCACCCATCTGTTTTCCCTCACCCATCTGTTCTCCCTCACCCATCTGCTCTCCCTCACCCATCTGTTCTCCCTCACCCATCTGTTCTCCCTCACCCATCTGCTCTCCCTCACCCATCTGCTCTCCCTCACCCATCTGTTCTCCCTCACCCATCTGCTCTCCCTCACCCATCTGCTCTCCCTCACCCATCTGCTCTCCCTCACCCATCTGTTCTCCCTCATCCTGGTCTTTTTCTGTCTCTGTGTCTTCCCTGAACTCTTCCTCATCTCCTGTCCTGGTAGATGTTGATGGTATAGAGCTTCCCTGCTGTGACTGGCTACAATATATTAATAATAACCATCATGACAATAATAATGATAATAATAATAATAATGATAATAATAGCTTTAACAAATATGCCACATTAGTTTAAATAATGGGCTATTAGGGCAACATGACTGGAAGTCTTGTCACGTAGATATGACTTATGGTAGCCTACAAAATAATAGCTATTTTAATACCTGCTGCACAAACCACTTAAAAATAAAATGTAAACAGCTTTTAAGATTTTTCAATACGATTAACCCTCCTTTCTTTGCATTGTGCTGCAATTACTAAATCAATATACAATTAAGACAATAAAGAGACCAAAATGTGTTAATTTATGTTGCCTAACAAAACCTATACAACAGAAAATGTTTGTCTTAACACATAGATTTGCAATTGCAAACTCTACCGAGATTATTTGTAGCCTATGTGGTCGTCCTCACGTTATCTGTCATTGACTTGGGCTGCAGTGTAAAACTTTATCTAGTTTTATCTAGCCGACTAGCTTTATCTAGCCTAACTAGTTTATCAGGTGACCAGTTGGCAAAAATACTTGTTTGGTGCTGCTGAATGAGACATTTTAATGCACAACAAAATGATTCTGCTTGATCTGTATATTACCTGGCTAATGGGGCACGGGAGAAGCAGCCTGTCAGCGACTGTTCCTGCTATCTGAAAACTGCTATGATGCTGCGCATCTGGCATGCCCTGCGGGCGACCGAGCGAGGTCACGTGGCAAAGGAAGAGAGAGAGGCTGGTCGGGTGTGCGTAAGGAGGTGGCTCATTTCGGGGCATTTTTTCAGTCGTTTTTAATGGCTCAGGTTTTCAAAAGATTATTTCAAAACCGACATTAGTAAAATCGTAATAATATTAATAATAAAAAAAAAAAAAAGAGTTTCAAAAGGGTATTTTCGTTGATAAAGGGCAAACTCCCTAGTGCTTTAACACCACCTAGTGTCTATGTATGCACGCCCATGCCTCCAGTTATTGAATTACCTTTTTTAATCTGGAATCCGGGAATGTTCACTTTTAAATGATGAAGTTAAAACGTTCAAGCGAAGACTCTCTGTTTACACATAAATAGCTGAACAAAGGAGGATTTTATTTCAATCAGGGTCTTTTTGGAACTGATTGGTGCAACAATCTGGAGGAATCTTCTACTGAAGGTAGAAAGATTTCCTAAGAACATCCCTCTACAGTCTTTTATCCTTGGAATGCAAATTTGAAAGTTTAGAACGATTTAATCTCTGAAGGAAATGTTTTCCAGTTTCCGACCGGTTTCATGTAGTACCAGAATATCAGATTTTATGTTGTTATGATTTTACTAAGTTCAGAAAAAATGCAGAAGACCAAACAGGGAGACCAGGGAAAAGGTTTAACAGGTTTTATTGAAGAGATAATACGGAGAGAAGTGTTGCTCTGAACCCTGCTCAGCTTCGTTTGGAGCTTTCGTTTGGACCTCGGTACCTCCAGGAGCAGCAGGTCGACTGACCTGAGGCACTGAGTGGGAGCATAGTGGAGGAGAAGCTCAGAGAGGTAGGGAGGAGCCACGCGATATAAAGAGCTCCCTCTTACCTACAACAGTTAAAAGGCGTGCTGCTGCATTTTGCAGCAACTGGCTCACCACAAAATAAAGTGTGTTATAGTGATCCTGCTGAAATGTAACAAAGGAATGGATTACGATTTCAAAGTGCTGCTGTGCAAGAAAAGGTTTGACCTTGGCCACTCGTCTGACATATGCTGAATGCATAACATGTTCATGTTTATGCATTTAGCAAACGCTTTTATCCAAAGTGACTTACAAAGTAGACACAATTTTACAGTTATCATCAACATGACAATAAGTTCTCTAGAGGAAAATCCCTGTCAGAATCAGCGAGGACAGCAAAGAGAGAGAAAGAAGTGCAGAAAGAGTCATAGAAAGCAGACGCTCTTTGAAGAGGTTGGTCTTTAAAAGTTTCCTGAAGATAAAGATAAAGAAAGGGACGCTGCTGTTCTTGTAGCGCTTCATAGGTCATTCCAGTATCTTGGAAAAACTCATGAAAATAGTCTGGATTCAGGGACGCCTCTAGAAATATTTCATAGGGGTGGCCAGATGGGGCCTCTTAAATCCTCGGGAAACAGAAACATAATTTCTGGGTTTTATTTTACTGCTGTCACATCAGAGGAATCCTCATTTCTTGCGTTCACTCAATGTCTGTGATGCCTCATCAAGTTAAGGATATTATCATCCTTTTTATTAGAAATTGCATCTCAAATATTTCCTAAATTCTATTCATATATTTTGAAATGACACTCAACTTTACTGAAATTTCCATGTGAATAAAGTACAATAGGCTATCAAAGAAATGAACTGGTAAAAATATAGAAAGGTCCAGTTCAGTGGAAGTCATTAATTTCATTATTTTGCACACATGCTAATAACTTCACCTGCCGGTCCAGGAACAGGTGGAACACCTGCTTTCACTGAGTTCATGCTTCTGTAATCAAAGCTGCTGACTGTCCCTGATCTGCTGCTGTTTGATGCTTTTCCTCATCACTGTTCTTTACTAATGCTGCTCTGTGTCCTCATCATGCTGGTTCATCTGTTTCTCTCCTCCATCCTTCTTCTCTCTCTTCTCCTCATCCTCCTTCTGCTCCTCTCTCTTCTCTCCCCCTCCTGCTCCTCCTCACTGGTTATCTGTTGCTCCTGTCATCTCTTTCTCTGCTTCTGCTGTAATTCTTCTTAAAATCAGAACAGATGTCTGTGGACTTTATCTTCATGTCTGTGAATTGACCATCCATCCTCAATCACCAGCTCATCCAGTTAGCTACATAACGATGTCAGAAACACACTAAAAGCTGCTTTAACAGTATAATATTACAGTTCATATTTCCCCCTTTTCTTTCACAAACAAATGATTTGACTTATTTACTTATTGTTAGTTTAATACGCTTTCTCACCGTTAAAGCGGGCACGGGCTGAGCCATAGTTCTCTGAGCGCACAAGAGCGGTGTGAGCGCCCGTACCGGTAGCTCATTTGCTCATGCGCAAGGAAATATCGGGTAGGGGGGGAGTGCAGGAGGACTACAGCGGCTGCTTTGCGGGGCGTATAATGGGGTGAAACGCTAAACCGATGCTACTACAATTTACACTGGCCAGTAGGGGCAGGGGATGGGTGCAGTGGGGTGGTCAGGGCCACCCCCTGGTGGCGCCCTTGTCTGGATTGTCTTCAGTGTGGAGTAGACACTGCTAGACAACAATCCATTGATGACTGGAGTGACCCAGTTGTGACATGAGCTAGAGTCCTGCACGGGTCGTGTTTTACCAACCCGCACCCGCCCGAACCCGTAAGGATGACTACTGAACCCGACCCGTTGATATTTAACCTGCAACCCGACCCGTTAACACATCAAGTAATAGGCTATAGTATGCTGCGCTGCAGGACAGCGCCATTAACACTGCAGCAGACGTGTATGCACTGACTGTGGCCTTTGGAGGGAAGCCCACACTGCCGGCAGGGCTTTAAGCTACAACAAGGGTGACCCCAGTGCCTGATTAATATAACATTTCTGATGTCCATAACAACACACACGCATAAAAAAAATCACCAACTACCCGCCCGCACAAAAAAAAAATATCCGCCCGACCCCGCGTACCCGTTTATTTTTATTTATGTATTTTTCACCCTCAAAAGAGCATTTTAGCGTCGGGACCCGCTGCAGGACTCTAACACAAGCCTTTCAAGAGGGTTCAAGTAGACGGGAGCCGTACACTTAAGCACTTTGTAGTCTAGCATCAGCAGGTTGAATCTGATGCGGGCAGCCTGGGGTAACCAGTGAATCTGAATGAACAGAGGTTGTGACGTCAGACTTTTTGGGCTGATTGAAGACCAGACGGTTTTACTGTACAGGCGGGGCGATAGTCAGGGCAGGAGATAACTATAGACTGGAGCAGGAGCTGCGTAGCATGTTGGGTTAGGCATGGCTGGATCTTTCTTATGTTTAGTAGGGTGAAGCGACAAGATCGAGAGACGGAGGTAAAATGATCTTTAATTCAGTTCAGTTCATTTCATTCTATCCACATCTGAACATCTCAAGGCTCTTTCCAGTTCACCAGATCATCCAGTCAAATTGATTCAGTTTTCCATCTAAGGAAAACCAGTTGATTGTTGATTGTTTTCAATATAACAAATATTGAGGAGTCACTTAGTATCAAATGGCAGAAATGAAAGATAAATGTCTTGATTTACATTATTTGAGCACACATTTAAAATCTAACTTTTGTTTATTTTTTCCTTTCAGCCTCTCAGGATTCATTGACTACAAAAGTTGAGGTTTGGGAAGGAGCTCAATCTGTTGTTCTGCCCTGTCACTACAGCGGAGAATTAAAAGGGACTGTTACAGTGAAATGGAACCGCTATGATCTTATTCCCAATACTGTCCATCGACGGCAAGAAAGAGACGATCTACGTGAACAAAATCAGCAGTTCAGAGGACGGACATCACTGAGACGTGATGCTGCAGCTTCTGGTGACTTTAGCATCACTCTGAGAGAACCCCAACTTCCTGACAGCGGAGTCTACATCTGCTGGATCACTGATGAAACAGAAGAGATAAAGCGGTCGGACATTCAGCTGTCTGTCAGAGGTCAGTTACCTTAGTACCTTACCTTATGCACACACCAACTGTAACCCACCACCACCACCACCACCAGCCCTAATTATATTATAAGTCAGCCATTATAAAAGATGGAGAACATCTTCACTCTGTCAAACTCAGTTCCTCCTTCTTTGCTCAGCATGTCTCACAGCAATGAAGGAGAATCCAGTAAGAATAAAGAATATAAATATAAATTATATTTCCCATTATTCTACTCCAGGCCTTCCAGTTATTGAATTCTGGTATTTTAATGACTTCCATGACCTTGAATGTTTGCTGATTCTACAAACAGTTGCTCTAATGCAGTCAGGGTTTCAGTGAGTTACTGCATGGCATCTTAATAGGGACCTCTGAAATAAGTCTGGTCATTAAATATTCCTCTTAGTTAATATTTCTCAGTCAAATGTTTATAGTTTATATCAAAGTGGGAACAACAGACAGCAGTTCATCCACTGAACCACATAAATCTCAGGTTGGGTCAGCAGGTGCTGAATGTGGAGAAAAAGATGTGAGAACTAACTTACTGTGTCTAAAAGTAAAATAAGAAACTAAACCTTTGTTCCTTTAAACTGAACAAACAAAAACATGAATGGATGTAACAAATTTAGGAAACTATTATGTTCTATTTTGTAAAAATGAACTTAAAGTAGGTCATTAATTTTAAATAATGGGGTAAACTTGTGGAAAAATAGACTTTATTTTCAATGTTTTGTCTAAGAAGCCCCTCATGCTTTTCTGGTATTTCATTTTTTTTAAGTCACTTGTAGACTGGCTAATTTAACTAAGTGTGGCCAAGTTTTCCTTGGCAAAAGATGAACAGCTGGAAGCTTCCAGTCCTTCAGTAACAGGCCCAATAACCTACTGCTTCAGATTAACAATACTCAAGGAGGAACAATCACATGGAGAGTGTGATTAGACACCAGGCAAAAACTTTTAATGTCAGACTCAAAACAATAAGACCCACTATTTGAGGCGGACAAACAGTCAGAGTTTTTGAAACGTTTATTGGAAAAGCAGCTGCAGTAAAGTAATCAGCATCTAAGGCATCAACCTCTGCAGGAGGAGACAACAGGTTAATGACCATGTCTATCTGGGGGAGGATGATAACGAACAGGTGAGTCACTAACCTGGTCTTAAAGTCAACACCTTTGTTTCTAGATGTTGGAGCTTGGCCTGTTTTCCAGTGTAGTCCTGTTTCTCTGACTGTGACTAACTGGATGTGCTCTCTTCATCCTCTGACATGGGAGCTGGCTCGGAGCTCGTCTGCCTGGCTGTGTGTTTCCTGGACGGGGCCGCCTGTGGAGCTGGTTGACAGCTGCCTTTTGTATCTATGCTTCTTTTTCTATGTCTGCTTCTGATTGTTTCCAAACTGTTGGCTGCCAACACATCGCACAGGCGCCGCCGAGAGAGTCCCAGATGCTAATTTCTTGGAGGTCGGAGGACAGGCAGGAGATCAGAACCGAGCAGATGAAGGAAGGCGGGATAATCCAGAGGGAAAAGCCAAAGCCAAAGTCTCTGACGTTCTCAGTAGTCAGAGCCAGGAGATCAGAGATCCAAATAGGTGTTGAGGGGGAATCCAGAATGGTGTTGGGTAATAGTTCCAGGTTCGGGACACAGGCAGGAAGCCAGCTGGAATCCAAGGACAGGTCAGGCAACAGAACAGAACTGAGACAGGCAGGCTCAGAGGTCGAGAGGCAGAGCAGGTCAGGATCAGGTAATTAGAACTACAGGTACACCAGGGAACTTCTCAACAAAATAATCTGGAACTGACAGCTGGTTAAGAGAAGGAGCAGCGGCGATTTCTCATTCAATACTAGGGAGGCTAAAACGCCCCTGTAAATTCATAAAATAATTGGTCAGATATTCATTTTTACACTTTATAAATGTATTCATTAAACTGTATTAAATATGCGCTAAGGTTAATTTCATGAGTATGTTGCTCCTTAATCAGCTGTTGAGCCGCTCTCATACTCATTCTCCCCTCCAATGTGGAGCAGCAGGAAAGTAGGGCCCTGATTGGATAACACTCAAAAGAAACGTCACCTCCAGGGAGGCTCAGCCATAGATATCCATAATAAAGGCTAGATGTCTCGTCCGCGCTGCTGGCCAATGGGGGTCGACGTCCGCACGTGGCGGCCATCTTGCCACAGGCAGCTCGCTCATTCGTAACATTGTGTTTTAAAGGCGCATGTACTTAAATAACCATAACTTCCTCAATTGTCTAACGATTCTCAAACTGTTTGGTTTGTTAAACAAAAGTCAGACATGTAGTTATGATACTGCACACTTATGAATAATTATAACCATGGAATTTCATATGAAAAGAACATTGAATAGAACATACAGGTGCAATAAATACACATGCACAAGGTATTTATGTTAAATCAATATATGCTATTAAAACTCAGTGTACTGAATGGCAACATGATATATAGATATATCTATAGATATAGATACCTATATATATCTATATATATATAGATATATATATATATATATATATATATATATATATATATATATATATATATATATATATATATATACACACATATTGAAATATATATATATATATATTTTAATATGTGTGTATATATATATTTATATATACACACATATAACACTTTTATTTGGGTGTGATTAATTATTTCAGTCCTAATTTATTTATATTTACATACATACTTTTATAATATGAATATTATTGTTATAATAAAATATGGAATACTGACAGAAAAGGCTTATTGTGTGGCAACCTCTTGGTGTAGAAGCATGATCCAGGTTTCAAATTAAAGGTAACACTTTGAAGTTTCATGTAGACTATTCGGATTATATATCAGGGGTAATTACACAAAAGTTCCTATTTTTAAACCATTATAAAAGTGACATTTATTTGCTATTAAAATTGGTGCAATAGTCCCCTTCACAAGTATATATAGATGTAGCATGTTGAAATCCCCACCTACACTACTGTGATGGTATACACATGGAAGACAGAGATTTAAAAAATGACCCAAAAAACATAGCTTGGCTAATGCCCTTTGAAAAGGAAGGTTTTATTGAGCTTCTGTGTAATGTACAAGAGAGCGTTGTCCACAAGGCCATCAAAGCGGACAGGAAGGTAGCTGTGGTCATGTACTAGCGCAGGAATGTCAGCAAACGGGGATGGAAGATCTTCTCCTCCTGCTTACACATTATATAACCTGCAGAAACAAAAACAAAAGTGACCAACAACAATTCACGGTGTTTAAGATTGGTATATCAATATGTGATTAAATTTCAATGATACACATGCCCTTTGAAGATGAGCTGGAAAGTTGAAAATGTTTGGCACAACACCATCTTTAAGTTGTCCAAATGAAACTAATACAAACTTATAAAAGCTTTGAGTCAACAACAGTCTTGTAATACTATTATGTCATAGCAAAAGTCTGGCATCTTCCTTTTAATAAACCCAGCAAATTCCTGTAACATAATGTAAGATGTGTTGACAAACCAAATCGATTGGAAATCATGTTAAATTCTGCCTCTTCCACTGATGTAAAGTTGCTGGTTAACGTTAGCAGCTAGCTAAACTGTAACGTTAGCTGCTAACTTACTAACGTTAGGTCTCACTTTGCAGCTTCTTGTTATTAGCCAGCTAACGTTAGGCTAATAATGAAAATACAACAACACTCAGATTATTGTTATTAGCCAACTAATAACTACAACCACATCCACAAAGATTGTAATTTACACCAAAGATTAATTGTCATACAATCGTTATTGGTGTCAGTAAAACCTATATAATTGACTAATAATCTCAGCCTTGATAACTTGCGCAAGTAGCCGTGATGCACAACTATGCTGCATGATTAAGTCATTTTTTGAGAAGAAAATCTGCAGTTTCGACATGTTCAAGCATCTAGAATTATAGCCACGTTCATAATGTTTGTAAGAAACCAAACTGTTTGTAAATTCGTCAAGAATTCAGTGAGGTAAGAGTATTTGTGTTCGTGCTGATCACTCACCTTACATTAGGTACCACAGAGCACAACAGAACGCCTGCCTGAGGCAAGATGGCCGCCGGTGATGACGTTTGAGACTCCGCCGCAAGACATCTAGCCTTTATTATGGATATCTATGGGCTCAGCCCCCTGTGGTGTCTATGGAGCGGGGCGGACCATCAAAGCTGGCTGCTCAAAACTGATTGGAAGAACCCACTAAAAGATTTGACTCACAGTGACCAGACCGAGGGGAGGTTTACCTCATCAGACTCAGATGAAAGGAAAAAGTGATAATTCAGTCAGAAGTCATCTTGTGCTCAACTGTTGCCATGGTTTCTGGATTTTATTATTTCAGAGCGCTTCACAGCAGCTATTTTCACCCCTTTGTTTTATTGTGTTTTATGTTTCCACATTGATTAATGCAATGTTACACTTGGATTTAAGAACCTTTTTTAATGTGTTATATCAAATCAAACTGTAGAATCTAGGCTAAAAGCCACACAAATCTTTTTAAAATTTGCAAAACACAACTAAAATTATACCCAAATGAAATAAAACATATAATTAAACGGCACAATAGCAACCTATGAACAGCATTTCTGTTTCCATGGCAACAACCCCATTTCAGACCAGCACAAAATACACATCAAATGAAAACAGTCTCCATAGAATCCAGTCATTAATTTCACTTTCATCTAAACCAAAGGTTTGCAGAGATACAAGCTAATAAACAGAGACAGATAAAACCACTCAGCCAGAAACTAGTTTAAAAAAACCTATGTATTACCGCTAAATTCACACATGGTTGGTTGAGAGTAATCTCTATCGCAGCAGGAAAAAAAAAACTTTTGATGTGTTCCAATTCAGTGGCTGCTTCCTCAAAAAGCCAGAATAGTTGGCCATTACGTCATAATGCTGCGCCGAAGCCTGTTCTGATTGGAACACTCCTCATTATGCAGCCCACATATGCAGCCTTCTTTTTTCCCGTTTTGAAGGATAGGTCCGCTGTATCCTACGTAGCCTAGCAAGACGGCTGCTCCGTGCTTAGAGGAAAAAGGAAATGGCGCCGAAGAGTGGTGAATGTTGTTAGTGCAGTTTAATGTAATACAAGTATGTGAATAGTTCCGTCTGAAATGAATGAAAATAGTTGTTTTAGTGGTTATTGAGTCAGATAAAGCTTTTATCTGTCCCTATGTAAATGGGTTTGGCTGATATTTAAGCTCAGATTCCAACATCTCTGCAGTGTGGGGACTATAAATCTGATATCTGAGACGATGGTACTGCTGCTGAAGCTCCTTAGAAATGTTATTAGCACCCAGAACAGTAGTCAGAAGTTCAGCATCCTTTTTCGGCCCCCTTTGTGTGTCAACTATCACGGTTGCTAGGCGACAGAGTATACACTAAGCGAGGGAAGGTGGACCTGTTTGAATCCATGGCCAAACTATTCTGGCCTCCTTATTTTCACAGTCCTCTAAAGACTCAGACCAGGTAGACTGGGTCCTTGCTTTGACCAAAAAAAAAAGTGAATTTGCTTACCTTAAACAACGTGAGACAAAAGTAAAGTAAAGAAAAATCTAAAAGTTAAAGATAATGCAAAGGTCTTGAAATAATTGACATATAGCATATTTCAATGTGGGTAATCACATTAACGTTATTCCACCCGTACCAATGGTTATGCTTTTTGTTTTACTTTCACCATTTTATTTCTTCCATCCAAAGAGAATTTATCCAAAAACATTCTTTAATTTGTACCAAAGGAATTGCTGTCTTATATCCATAGGCAATGCTTCATTATCTTACCGTTTACTTTGGATAAATACAGGGATGAAAAGGCAGTAGGAGTTTTGAATATTTCTATTTCTATCCATCCAGTTAAGATGTAAATGTTTCTTTGTTTTTTGTATTTCCTTTGAATATTTTAGAATAGGTAATTTTTAATCAAGTTTGGATTTTCATGGTATTATGATTAAGTCATGGAGGCTCTGTAATTTGTATTATCAAGCCTTCATTAGACAAATAAATGTGTGAAACATTTTTTGTTAAAGCTACAGTGTGTAATAATTACAGGGATATACAGTCAGAAATGTAATATATTATACATAACTATGTTATTTATCATCATCTACGAGCTCAGCCTCTTAACCTTAATATTTGCGTTGCCTTAGAATTCGTTATTTATAATTACATAGGAGCGGGTCTCGCAGCCATGGAGGCAGACATCTTTGCGCTACGGCAGCGCAGAGCCAACAAACTAGCGATTGCGAGATCGCCCATTACGCTCGAAAGGAACTACGGCAAGTTGAGAGAGATGAACTGAGACGGTACTGAACAATAGATGGCAGTATTAAAATTATCTATGTAAACAAACCTCATCACTTGAGAAGGTAGGTGATGCGGACGTCGTGGAAGACATTTTGTCCCGTAACGCTCGCCGTACTGTTGGGGGGGAGAAGCGGTGGGGGGGAGACGTTCATGTTGCTGCAGTCTGCAGTCTGGACGTTAGATGTCGCTGAAAATTACACACTGTAGCTTTAAAGGTTCATGGAAGTATTAAGTTTGATATAAAAAAAGATAACATAAATTTATAGTTTGTAATTTGTTTTAAAAAGAAATTCTATGCTATTAACTGTTGAGATGTTTTGGATTTAAAACCGCCATCAGCAGCAGATCTGTACGTGCATTATGCGAGCTAGTGAGCGCACTTGCCACAAAATTATCTTTCAGGTAATTTCCCCTATGGAATATATTTTATGTATCTATATTATATATTTATTAAGTAGGAGAGAAGTGATGATATAAACTCTAAATAAATGACTGTGCTGTCAGAGACCTTTTCATTTGTGAGTAATATTTGGTTCTGAAAACAGAAAAATTTTAAATATTCACTGAGGTCAAACCAACCATCTTTAGCTTTCTGCTAATAGGAGAGGGTCTGGCTGCAGTCTTGCACTGTCAGGACATTTCATTGCAGACCCGCTCAACATTATCCTATTACCCTGCACTTTTGGGTAGGCTGTTTATTCCAGACGTTTTATTCTAATCAGATTTTATTAGAAAATGCGAGCATGGACTCGTGTTCTCACCAAGTATGTTCAAATTCAATTCTATTCAGTTTATTTCTATAGCGCCAATTCCCATCATGTCATCTCAGGTCACTTTCCAGTTCACCAGATCATCCAGTCAGATTGATTCAAAGTTTTCTATCTAAGGAAAACCAGCTGATTGACTCTTCAGCAATCCCTCACACTAAGCATGCTTGTAGCGACAGCGGAGAGGAAAAACTCCCTTTGAACAGGAAGAAACCTCCAGCAGAACCAGGCTCAGTGTGAGCGGCCATCTGCTGAGGCCCACTGGGGTTCAAGGAGACAGAAGCAGACATAGAAAAAGAAGCATAGATACAAAAGGCAACTGTCAACCAGCTCCACAGGCGGCCCCGTCCAGGAAACACACAGCCAGGCAGACGAGCTCCGAGCCAGCTCCCATGTCAGAGGATGAAGAGAGCACATCCAGTTAGTCACAGTCAGAGAAACATACTGAAAAAGAAATGCAACCGCTTTTGGCATTTACTTGATCCTATTTATTTACTTTAACACAATTGTTTTTTGTCCTTCCCTGCTAACATGAAAAAAATTGTGTTAAAGTAACTAAATATGATTAAGTAAAAACAGGCCAAGCTCCAGCATCTATAAATAAGGGCGTTGATGGCAGCAGCATCACTTTCCTGTGTTCTTGACAAGAACACAGGAAAGCAGTGACAGGCTATGTCTGAACGTCCGCCCTTACCCCTTAATCCCTTAATCACTATATAGAGCAGGGACTATATAGTGAACTTCATGGTGAACTCAGTTAATTGACCCTTCGGACAGATGATCACTGCTTTTTGCTGCCCGTTTGTCACGTAAATCTGCCTCCCTGCACGGTGCATTCCCCACATTTGTTATTTGTTGCCGCCGTCTGCAGCAGCCTGGGCTAACGTTAGGCCGTCTGCAGCAGACTGGGCTAACATTAGCCCATCTGCAGCAGCCTGGGCTAACATTAGCCCATCTGCAGCAGCCAGGGCTAACATTAGCCCATCTGCAGCAGCCAGGGCTAACGTTAGCCAGTCTGCAGCAGCCTGGGCTAACGTTAGGCCATCTGCAGCAGCCTGGGCTAACATTAGCCCATCTGCAGCAGCCTGGGCTAACATTAGCCCATCTGCAGTAGCCAGGGCTAACATTAGCCCATCTGCAGCAGCCAGGGCTAACGTTAGCCAATCTGCAGCAGCCAGGGCTAACGTTAGCCCATCTGCAGCAGCCAGGGCTAACGTTAGCCCGTCTGCAGCAGCCAGGGCTAACATTAGCCCATCTGCAGCAGCCAGGGCTAACGTTAGCCAGTCTGCAGCAGCCTGGGCTAACGTTAGCCAGTCTGCAGCAGCCAGGGCTAACGTTAGCCCATCTGCAGCAGCCAGGGCTAACGTTAGCCCGTCTGCAGCAGCCAGGGCTAACGTTAGCCGATCTGCAGCAGCCAGGGCTAACGTTAGCCAGTCTGCAGCAGCCAGGGCTAACGTTAGCCCATCTGCAGCAGCCAGGGCTAACGTTAGCCAGTCTGCAGCAGCCTGGGCTAACGTTAGCCCATCTGCAGCAGCCAGGGCTAACGTTAGCCAGTCTGCAGCAGCCAGGGCTAACGTTAGCCCATCTGCAGCAGCCAGGGCTAACGTTAGCCCGTCTGCAGCAGCCAGGGCTAACGTTAGCCCGTCTGCAGCAGCCCTCTCTCTGCATAGCCGATGCAGACCACTCATTTGATTTTTTTAAAATCTGACTGCGTTCATTATTATTCCCCCATTAAATGAAAAAAATACAAATTTATTCTTATAAATTACTATTATTATTATTACTATTGTTATTTCTGACAGTCCCACTATGTTTCGTGCTCACAGAGTTTCTCTCCATCCTCTGTCTCTGTTCCAACGTCTCCTTGGAGGAAACAATGACTGCAGATATTTTTACTCTCAGTTCACTCCTGACTTCATAGAAATACCAGAAAAGATGCAAACCTGTGTCTGCAGTTGAGTTTCAGACCTGGAAAATCTCTTTTTACGTCATAAATGTTTAAATCTGCAGATCCTCCCCATGAATTAGTTTAGTCATTAGAACCTGATGTGAATATTGATGAAGGCAAAAACACAAAGAAAGGTATGAACGCGCTGTCTGCTGAATTATAAACATAAATCACTTAGAACCTGCTGTCAGGATCTGCTCTGCATCTACAAACATGTTTGAACCTGTTTTTAGACATGCAGACCTTCGGAAGATCAGAACCTTCATGTTCAAAGCTGATTGGATTACAGAAACTCTGAGAAATGTTAAGATGATCCTGAGAACTTTTGCATTTTAGACTAAAATCAATCAGGATTCATGTCTGAGATCTAACTGCTCTTTATGTTTTTCTATAGAAATATTTCCTACCTGGTCCAAAGTTCTCCTGGCTCTGCTGGTTCTTCTCAGTGTTTCTGGTGGCCTTTTGTTTCATTTCCGTCATTATTTCATATCAGGTAAGTTCATTTTTACAATTATTTGTTTGTTTATCTCTTTGAAGATTAAGAAGACCATGTATTATAAAAAAGAAGAATGTGGAACAGGTTGTCTTTTCCAACATAAAGCTCCTAAAAACAATATTATATATTATTACATGTTGTTATCGTACTTAAAAGTACATGTTACATGGAAGTTGTTTTAAGTTGAATTATTTTGTCCTGCCCCTTTTCTGATTCAACATCAGTCATGAAATCATTTTATATCCTTTTCTGTTAGTATTTACAAACCTTAAAGGAGAATTCCGGTTTTTAACACTTTTAGCCCATTTTCTGTAGTGTCCAGGATGAAATCGAATGATCGACACCAAAATTTTGACAATTGCTCCTGTCTCTGCTTTTTGGCTCATGCAGAATCCCCCCCTGGCTGCTTCAGAATGGCTTCCATAGTGCAAGTCCGATAATGTCCTTAAAACAACCTTAAACGTTCTTTTTTTAAAATATGCTACTCACCGGGTCGTCAACGCTGTTCAATGACGTTCCAAAAAAAGTTTCGTAAAGAAAAAACGTTCCTGTAGTGTTTTATTTAGCATTTTGTAAATCCCAGAACTATTTTTTCCGATACATCACAACCGCTTATAAACTTCCGCTTCCTGTTCGAATCTGAAGCGTTGCACACTCCAGACCACTAGTTGGCGACAATGTCTCTATACTTTGGGAATGTATATGAATATGTCCTCCTCAAGAATCCACCTTTCGTATTCCATTTTCAGAGTTTTTTAAAGTGTTTAACAGAGACGTTAGCACCTGGACGTAGGAGTACACAGAGTGAAGCGAAAAGACTACAACTGTGTAAACAGGCCCCATTTCCGTTTCCGGTGGCAGGGGAATATTGACTATTCCAACAGAACTCAATGGGATTTACAAAATGCTAAATAAAACACTACAGGAACGTTTTTTCTTTACGAAACTTTTTTTGGAACGTCATTGAACAGCGCTGACGACCCGGTGAGTAGCATATTTAAAAAAAAGAACGTTTAAGGTTGTTTTAAGGACATTATCTGACATGCTCTATGCAAGCCATTCTGAAGCAGCCAGGGGGGGATTCTGCATGAGCCAAATAGCAGAGACAGGACCAATCATCAAAATTTTGGTGTCGATCATTCGATTTCATCCTGGACACTACAGAAAATGGGCTAAAAGTGTTAAAACCAGTTCTCCTTTAACATGTTCAACAACGTACCTACATTACAAACTGGTTTCTTATTCTCATAATTTAATAAAGTCATTTCATTCTGTTGTTTTTTTTTTTTACAATTTTATATTCACATATTTTTTAACTGTATAAAGTTTTCCATAATCTAATTCCATTTTACTGAACACGGTTTTTTCTTGTCTTCACACCTACAGTCTTAAAGTTCTATTTATATTGTAGTTTATATATTATTTTCCTTTCAACAAAAAAGTTTTTGAATATTCTGAGGTAAAAATTTTATTCAAGTTTTAAATTGTAGTCTTTAAAATGTTATCAGTTCTCTAATTTTAATCATTTAGACTTTAGGAAAAGTGGATTAATGTGATCTGTTGTTGGGCTCGCTGTCTGAATGACGGCGCGCACTGATACGAACAGAGAGAAAATAGGACCAATTGATAACGACGTGTGACTTTTTCCACTACAATGTTTTTGGGATGCGAAAATATCGCTCTTTTGAACACATAATGTTTTGGGAAGAGAAACGTTTTATTTCGCTGTTCCTAAAAACCTGCCGGACTACTTTTGGCTTGACCAAAACTGGACGATAACTCTGCTCACAGGACGCTGCCAGGGGTAAGTCAGTGTGATTGCATGCCGCTGGTGATGGGGATGCCATACAGATTCATGTCAAAAATACCGAACTATCCTTTTAAGGGCCACGTTAATTATAGATTAAATAATTTACTGTTCTGCAGTTTAAGCAATTGTCATATTTGTAACATCACTAGTCTTTCCTGTGACATGCACCTTTTATTTATTTATATATATACACACACACACACACACATATATATATATATATATATATATATATATATATATATATGTATATATATATATATATATATATATATATATATATATATATATATATATATATATATATTTATATGAGAGAGAGATTCTTTCCTCCGAGTTACAGTGACATAGACAAACTTGAAGATACATGACATCCTCAAATTTCTATTCTATTAAAATTTCTGTATCTGTATAATGGGTCTGTTCTATATGTTGTCTTCTCAATTCAGAGGGCCCCATGCCTGTCTTTGCCTAGGGTCCCAAATTTCCTAAATCCGCCCCTGTGTAGTGGAATTTGTCTAGCTTTGAAGTTCGTTTTTCTCATGATTCAACCTGTAACAACCTAAACCATTTGGCTTGGCATAAATACGGATTCAAGTAGCCTACTGTAGCCTACACATTTCTGAAAGACCCCCAACAACTCCAGAAAAAGTCGGAACAGTCGATTTAATTATAAATAAATAAATGCCAGTCGATTCCCCCTGCCTCCCGCCTTATGACATTGGCACCTCTCTTCACGCTATTCTCACTGACCGTCTCTACTCTTTTTTCCACGGCGACGAACAGACAACCAAAAAAATGCAAGGTGATATGATGAACAGTTTACTTACAGTTGGTGCTTTTCGAAAAAAGGATGCAATTGTTTTCTGTTTTTTCGGTTTGGCTGGCCTCATGTTGATGTCCGGACTCCGGAATTGGGATCTGTCCTGCCACTACTGTCTGTCTGAGTAACCATGGAAACCAGGCTCGAGAGGTAAATGCCAGAGACAGGATAACTTTTAGATTAGAATCTCTACGACGCAGGCAGCCTGCAGTTAAACAAAACGATTGCCCGTCTATGATCTGACTGTTTTATGTTGTTGTTGCAAACCAGTAAATTAGAAAAAGCTTTTTGATTTTCTGTGAGTTTCGCCGTATGTTTTTTTTTTTTTAAATAAAAGTGGGGGGGACAGATTGAGGGTCATTCGAATCTGTGTACGTCAGAACACCCCTGACGTACACAAATGCCTTGTTGATGCCAGAGGTCAGAGGAGAATGGCCATACTGGTTGGAGCTGATAGAAGGGCAACAGTGACTCAAATAACCAGCCGTTACAACCAAGGTGGGCAGAAGAGCATCTCTGAACGCACAGTACGTGGAACTTTGAGGCAGATGGGCTACAGCAGCAGAAGACCACACCGGGTGCCACTCCTTTCAGCTAAGAACAGGAAACTGAGGCTACAATTTGCACAAGCTCATGGAAATTGGACAATAGAAGATTGGAAAAACGTTGCCTGGTCTGATGAGTCTGGATTTCTGCTGCGACATTCGGATGGTAGGGTCAGAATTTGGCGTCTACAACATGAAAGCATGGATCCATCCTGCCTTGTATCAACGGTTCAGGCTGGTGGTGGTGGTGTCATGGTGTGGGGAATATTTTCTTGGCACTCTTTGGGCCCCTTGGTACCAATTGAGCATCGTTGCAACGCCACAGCCTACCTGAGTATTGTTGCTGACCATGTCCATCCCTTTATGACCACAATGTACCCAACTTCTGATGGCTACTTTCAGCAGGATAATGCGCCATGTCATAAAGCTGGAATCATCTCAGACTGGTTTCTTGAACATGACAATGAGTTCACTGTACTCAAATGGCCTCCACAGTCACCAGATCTCAATCCAATAGAGCATCTTTGGGATGTGGTGGAACGGGAGATTTGCATCATGGATGTGCAGCCGACAAATCTGCGGCAACTGTGTGATGCCATCATGTCAATATGGACCAAACTCCCTGAGGAATGCTTCCAGCACCTTGTTGAATCTATGCCACCAAGAATTGAGGCAGTTCTGAAGGCAAAAGGGGGTCCAACCCGTTACTAGCATGGGGTACCTAATAAAGTGGCCGGTGAGTGTGTATATATATATATATATATATAATGACTTCTAATAGATGTAGTTGCCAGAGGAACGCAGAAACATCTCCATGAGCTCAGAGAGTCAAACAGATGAAGAAAGAGGATGGAGCTCCCTGCTAAAATATTCATGCCATCTTCCTTTTTCTTTCAGCAAACATTTGAGACAGAGGGTTTTTGGTTTCACCAAAATAGGGCTTTGTTGTCATGACGTAAGCACTTTTGCCGACGCCATGTCGATGGCCTCCTTTACCGCTGCTCATACTACTGCCTATGACTGCCGCGTACTGTACTCCCTCTCAGCCGTGTTTTAATTTGATTAATTTCACCTTAACTTGATTTCAACCATGGTGAACCGTTGCTGTATTGTGGGCTGAAACAGCGCAACACATGATCGCCATGGGAATAACATAGAAAATGGGTTAACTTTCCACCGCTTTCCTGCCTGGAGGCGTAACCACGGAGACCAAGTGTTCGAGATAAAGAGTCATCGGCTAGCTTGGATCGCGGCTGTAAGACGACCGAACATAACTTTCCACAGTATCCCGATGTCATTGAGAGTGTGTTCCCTGCATTTTCATTCTGGTAAGTTAAAGATGCACGGTTTTATTTTATAGCCTACAGTGTTTCTTTCCTTCAAAGTTGGGATCTTTTACGGGAAAATAATAAAATCGGCAGCGGAAAAGGCTCAAATACGTGAGAAACCCGGAGGGTTGGCAGTTAACGTTACTAACTACACCTTTAAACACATAGCAGCTAGTTAAAAGTACATTACATGCGTGAGTGGTTGTTAGCATTAGCGGTTAGCAGTTGCTAAACTAGCAGGTTCCAGAGCCCGTCTGATCACAGCTTACCTTCGTACGGATTACTGTGTTCCCACTGTTTGCTGGCTTTATGATCTGCAGCTCCTGAACCCATCCATTCATGAACTGCACATGAGACTCCAAGGACTTGTAGCTTGGGAACTGTTTTGAAGTATCGGCGCTCACTCATTGGTGCTCCACTCATTGATTGGAACTTCATATGGATCCAAATTATTAATAATGCTGATTTTGTCAACATACCGGTCCATGGCTTCTCTATTTAATGTGTCCTGGTAAATTCCAGATCTTTTTCGGGATTTTG